GGGCACATAACAGTGCTGGTATAACAAGAAATTGGCACGCCGTTACGTGTTGACGTGTTATTCTGTGTTGTACAAGGAAAATGTAATTTCTACCTGTGCTCTACGAGGGGAGGAGAAAGTTAATTTAATGCTCAATTGTAACCCATTCCAGCTCCTCGCACAATGTAATGATATCACCCACCTCACCCATCTTCGTGTTCATCCCGTTCATCAGCTAATAAGGCTAACGTGGGGGACTACATTCCCCTGGCGAAAACCGTCCAGGATGGGCGGCTTTTCAACTCTTCGCAGGAGGCAATCATTTTATCCGGGGCTCCTACCCTTCTGAGGCTTAGCTAAGAAGGAAAAATTACATCTCTCCAGCTAAAACCGCATAAGAGAGCATAGATAACCAAGCCCATCCTCCTGTTCGTCTCCATCCAGTGCTAATATAACAAGGATTAACACGGAACACTAGTTCATCATTTCTTGATAAATATACTATCATTGTGATGGGTGGTGTCATCCCCTCCCCCTCCCCCCCCCCCCCCNCCCCCCCCCCCCCCCCCCCCCCCCCCCTTTTTTTTTTTCGTGGGTATATTTTGCGAAGGCGCTTCCTTTTTTTGCCTAGCACTTGGAAGAAAATCAAAGGACGGTCTCGCGGGTGGAGCCGAAAGTCACAGCGGCATTTCTGTTGTCCATTCAGAGCGCTAAGGACTTACCAGATCTCGTGTTCACTGCCAATGCAGCCATAATCAGAGGAAAGCAAGTGTATCTGGCTAACTTCGCCCTCCAAGAGCGAAAAGCAGAATGGAAAATCAACGATGAATGGTTCCGGCAAAACGGATTCAACACTTACTTCAACGAAGCTATTCCTCATGAAGGTAGGAACCAACTTTTGCTCTGGCTTGTACTATTACATTAGGCGCTGCTATATGTAATCTTTTCCTTGTGGATCTGTATGAGAAAGAGGGTGATGATGCGTACAAAATCATCCTCAGGCAATTTCGGTTTGGTTTCGACGTAACTCATTTGAACTGAAATCGTTTGTTGCAACTGTTTCGTCCAAATAAAAATCGCATCGGAACTTTGCAATATGCTTTAACGCTCGACATAGTTGATGGGAGGAGGTGATGTGGGAAAAGAAAGAGAAGAAAGCCAAAGTGTATCCGGATATACAGCCGATTATTGACATTACAATCATTTAGCTTTTCAGAGTCATCGTGGAACTTAAAACATTAATTTGATTTTTTTTTGATTTAACATTAATTCAATTTGATACCCGTCGAATCCGTCGTCATCATTTAGTTTCCACTAGCGACTTCGGACAGCGGTATATACATACTTCCAACGTTGTGACATTTCAAGGTAGTCATATCCCAACCACTCCATTCCAGCAATCATCACCGATCCGTTGGATGACTGCATGGCCTTCCTACTGTAGATTTTTGCCTTCTTCGGTACAATCTTTCCTCCAGCTCTGACTATGGGCTTTTCGTGTTCAACCTAAAACATGACCTTCTGGTTACCGGCTCCGCGCTGACGCTGTCATCATATGGATTACCTTGCTAACATTGATGATAGTCTCCCAATGGAAACCGAAATAGTGTGGGTGAAGCTGATGTGTTAACGTAATCGATATGCATCTAAGTGATACCAAAGTCACTGCAATGCAAGTGCAGTGACTTTGTGACAACCAAAGTTGAATGAATCATTTTTTGATAGCATATCTGAGCACAGCTGGAAAGATGGCCTTCGTAGGTGGTGAAGGCTATGCCACTGCGTATAAAAAGGGAAAACTAAAACTAATAACCGGTCATCAAGTAGCGGTATACGCAAGGCAAGGAGAAGTGAATCTACTCGCTGAATCACATTGGAGATGGCACGAAAAGAAGCTTATGGCTTCTAGGAGGAACGCTGCTTGAATAACAGGTGGCCAGTCACGTCAAAGGGATAGGGTGGAGGGCTACAGGGTGGGATTTCTTAGGCAAAAAATGCATAATCTCTGTTATCGTTTCGCAGCTTTGGACACCAAAATAGGCATGAGTGTTTCCGACTTATCGTGATATTCGTTCTTGACTCATTTTTTGCATATATGTCTGTCTAGAAAACGGGTTTTGGAGCAACTTCCAGTGTCCACAACCGAGTATTCCCCTAAGAGATGTAGGAGTAGCCCAGAAAACTTAGAAAATAATAATACTCCTCCTCTTTCAGTCGTATAGTGAAGAATGGGAGAAGAGCTCAAATTCTCAGATCATAAAGCTAAAAACTATTTCATCAATATAATATGGGCCAATTACATCCAGCCCAACAAAAAACTCAATCACATTCCAGGTACTGGAGATGCTCTATGGTGTTGCAACGGTACAGTGCTGATAGCAGCAATTGGTAAAAGATCGGACGCTCGTGCCCTGTCGGATATCCAACAAAAACTGCAAACTAACGGAGATACTTTCAAAATTGTAGCCGTACGACTTGTTGATGACAGGCAAGATCGTTCAACGAAATCTGATTAGTGTGCTGCAATCAGTGGCTCGAGTTCAATATGAAGGCCTCAAGGTGAAGAACTTCAACGGCAACGGGATGTGGGAGGCCTCTCAATCAGATAGCTGTCAAGCTGTCATAGGTGCAGACACCTTATTCAGCCGATTAGGATTAATGTGATTTCTTCAAAATGAGCGTAGAAGCTAGTTCAGTGCCCATTCCGTCTGCTAACTATGCACGATAATTTGAAATGCGCTACGCTTTCTATTTTTTGAATTCCTTTGAACTTCCATTTTAAAAAGGAAAATATTTTTGGATAACCGGTCCATAAAGCATTTCAAGATAGTCATTAACTCAGCTAATGGTGGTGGAGCTTCTGCGATACTGTTGAGCCTTATTTACGACAAATTTATAGCGATCTGAGTATAAACCTCAACAGGCAGTTCTCTGAACCTTACATCACATGATCCATTTTTATTCCAGATTTGAGATCATCTCAAGGCAGACTACTTCCAAAATACCTGACGATTTCAGATTCTACCATCTTGATACAGCATTTTGTCCACTGAATGACAAACTTGCATTATGGTATCCGCAAGCGTTCGATCAAGCCTCTCAGCGTATTATGAGCAATTACTTCCAATTGTTACCGGTACGTAGCTAATGTGAATCGGTTCGTCACGCACTACTTTTTCTGTCTTTCAATAAATCATAGTGAATTAGTGAAAAACAAGTCGATTTGAGCGATTTCAAACACTGTTCATGCTATGCAAGCACTTTACGAATTCAAAATGTCCTGTTTAAGATAAGATGAATTATCTGTGCAGCCAAGAGGGGGAGATGAAATGTTCCCTGCCGCACTTATACTCTAGAAAGGGGCCTGGACTACGTGCATGCCAGTGAATTCAGGTGCATTACGGGCACCTACATAATATCCAGTGACATTCATAGAATGCCTTTCGCCCCCAACCTTAAGAGGAAGTTCAATGAAAAAGATTCCAACCACATAAACTCATTATATCAATACTGAAGTGAAATAAAGTCTTGAACGTCGATCAATCCCGTGAGAGGGAATGCGCCCCCGCATTCGACTTCTATTCGGAATCGTGGTGGCGTATTGAATGCATATATGTAGCTCTCTACAATGGCTTACGCTGGCCAGCCGACTCAGTGCTTTTATCCCAATTAACCAAGCTCGGAAGCTTGGTTAGCTTATTCGGATATCGGTACGTGATTCGAACTATTGACCATGGTGTGTGTGAAGTGCGCCGCATGCCACTACAGCGCCTTTAATGTTTAATGACTATACATGGCTACCCTTCAGTTTACTATAATTACCTATTCAAGAACTCTGCTTTGGACTTTTTCCAACAGCTCATAGAACCATATTTAGGTTTCTGAGAGTGAAGCGAAGCGATTTGCCTGCAATGCTGTTGTCATCGGCAATCATGTGATAATGAACGAAGGGAGCGAAAGGATCGCTCAGGTTAGAAATTACCAGTTACGGACACTTTAGAACTGTAGAAAGTGATATATCCGTTCTTCGTATGGGCCCGTATTATCTGTCTTTCTACTTTCTGCTACTTTTACCAAATTGGGAACACCCCTATAACAACGTCTGGAAGCGTTTTTTACAGTTGACTAGACTGTCAGCAAAAAAAGTGACGTGCACTTCTAAAGACTGATAAAATACATATCAATCGCAATCTTTTTGGAAACGTTTTTTTTTTCGTCGGGTCTGAATAGAACAATATCAGCACGTTTCTAGAGCACTCCGATCGCACCACCTATTGAAAACATACTTTTCTACCAGCGGAGATCCAAAATCGCAAAAATCGGTCTTTCCTTTGTATGAGATCAGTTGTGTTTTCGAAGGATCTCAAAGATCTCGAAAAGGCAAAGGATGTCTTTTTTGGCTATCCATCCGCAGGGAAGCGTTGTAGATATTGAACTTACATTCCATAATATATGAAAAAGTTGATTGTGGGAGAGGAGAGAAAGCTTTTGAGTTCCACAATGTCAGCCCCGAATCGAGATGACCAGCAATGTCAGCTTCTCTACTTTATAAAGGGAGGGGGGTTGTGAAATTGTTGGTAATGTGATGATTTGGAGAAAGCTACTGACCCAGTGACTGAACGATACGGTCTTTTGGCCTAATCAGTTCCGTCTGAAGGATGCGCCCTCCGTTCGATTTCCATTCAAATTACATGTAGTGGGGATCGTAACGAAGTCGTAATGAGTGCATAGATGGTCTACACAACGACTTGCTGTGTCCAACCGATCTACAAGTCAGTGCTTTTGTCTTTTCAGAAGAGTCTGGTACCAATCAACAGACCTTGGAGGGATGGAAGGCATGACTGACCCTGGGCGGATAACGATCCGGGATTCGAGCCTGTGACCACTCATGTGAGATAGTGCGCCACTTGCTTTTACACCACCTCCACCCTATGAAAGACACAGATGATTTCCACGTTCGGTCTTCTTGAAACCTGAGCATGTCAGTTCATAACGGTTCCATTGCAATAAGCCTGTACGGCAAAACATTGTGAAATATTACTTAATATTACTCAGTTGATACTAGAAAGATTTGGTTCCATAACAAACACAAACATAGGGATGACATTTGAGAGTCGCGTCGCGAGGAGTCTTCGCTACACCTGACTTTTTCATTCATTGACATATGATTTCAGCTTCTCGATCGTCATGGCTTCAAGGTACATTTCGTTTCGATGTCAGAATTTGTCAAGTCTGGTGGATCAGCGAAATGTTTGACACTACGATTGAATCCATAAATCATTAGAGGGAAAGCTTTCCTACACTGACTCATATCCTTCGGCTTACTACAACAATCTTTCTACATTCTGCATACTAACAGCTTTTTCATATAAGGTATTGTGCTCGTATATGTCTTACTGAGGTTACTTACGCAAAGCTTATTGTCGGCGAATTTACTAACTTTTTCGACCTACGCGACACTATCTGCTTTTCTACTCGTAGACATCTTAATCAGCCGTGCATTTAACCTTCATTCAGTACAGTGGAAACGTATGAAATGAATATTCGCTCGTATAAAGATGTATGTGTTTTACTGGGTTCTAGCAAGTGTTCTCATCTTCTGTTGGAAGGGTAACGTAACAAATTGAATGTGTAGTTCATTGTCAAGCAATATGGTACAAATGAGTCAAATGGGCTAATTCCAAGATAGGATCCTCCTGTCCACTCTTTCTATGGGTAACGGTTTGAAACCGGTGGCATTGCGGTGGTACCCCATGCGCTGTCAAGTGGCGATCGCGCTTTATTATAAGGAGCCACTAGTTCGGAGACGGTTTTTCATATGAAACCACTCAATTCGCTCTCGTCAGAGCTTATGAAGGGCGCCGCCACCACCACGTTGCTCGCGCTGAACGTCATATCCAGTATAGCGGCAATGCGCCTCCTTTTCTTGTTCATCATCGGATACGGTAGGAATGGTTTTATGATTTTTTTTTGTTAATAGCATTTTTTTGAACTTCGGATACCCTGATAGTAGCGAAGATCAGTGGAATAAGCTGGTTGTCAAATGCCTTCAGAATTTGTCCCTTTTTGATATGAATAAAGAATGAAGTTTCTGGCATTGACCAATCCCATGTGAAGGATGCGCCCCGCATTCGGTTTACATTCAGAATCTGTGGTGTAGTGGATTCTATGTGGCTTACATATGACTTGCGGTGGCCATATAATGTCATATGGCCACCTCCCGTCAGTCAGTGCTCATACGGCATATCAGCATTGACTTGTGCTCATATGCCATATGAGCCCAAGTCTGTGCTTATACACTTCAAGGCTGGTTATAATTAACCGACTTCGGCGTGATGGTAGTCTTGCTTGACCTAGGCAAATATCTATCCGGGATTTGAACGCGTGACCATGCATGTGAGATAGTGTGCCACTTGCCAATACATCACCGCCCATTCACCTAAATAGATAGGAATTAATATAAAATTACGTGTAGTCTGATACTGATTTTTGAAGCCAACATAAATTTCTTGATGACTTAATGTTTATTGATGTTTTCAAAATCTTTGGTCACAACTGTGTTATTGAAAAGAATGAACTCTCATCAGTCAATCAGTTGAGTGCGGAAGTCAATTACGAAGTGAGGCCTTCTGGAGCTGCGAAATCTTCTGTGACGTTTCCTGAAGGGTGTCTGATCTGAGCTGTTTTGGTGTAAGTGATGAATCAAGTCAGTGGGAAGGTTTCGTAGGTGCAATGCGCCTTTATGCTCATACCAAAACTGAAATAATCGTTTGCTCCGTTCCTTTTTCAGAGAACGTTTCTCCCACCTCTTTTTGTTAGCGCTTAACTGAGACGTTTAGGTTAGTGGTTGAGAGCTTGAAGAAAGCACAAGGCCAATAGAGCTCTCATTAAGGTTTTGTGGTCTCCTTCAAATCAGCAGATGTATCCTCAAGCGGTGATTGCCCTGGCTCCTTGAGAATGGTGTTTTTGAGAAAGCCTGGATGGCGCCGAATAGGCACAGGCTCCATAGTCAAGGTAAGTTCTTCGAATTTGAGCATTTATTTGTCCTTCTTTTGTTTATTGGATTTTTTATTGCTACTGTACTGCTTTATGTCATCGATTTTTCGAACGAACTTCGTAATCGTTCCCAGTGAGCCCTAATAGCAATCAATTACTGGTGCCATCCAGAACCGAGTGACTAGTCCAGCGTGGTTTAGCTGACAGACAATTATCAAAAAAGAAGCGCTTATCGCCTAGGCCCTCAAACAGACGGACCATTTACGACCAGGCATGGGGGTACAATATTGAAATACCACAACAGACAAGGCATCAAATTACGTATGTAATCCAAAAACCTTTTATCCGGACCTTCATAGAAAATGCGGATGAGGTTTTACTCACTATACGGTGAACCACGACTAACAATTCTTCGTAGGCCACAGAAACCTTATGTTACTACTTCCTAAACATTTTTTTTTGATTTCGATACGTTTTGCCTTCTTTTCAGCTTCCTAATGATAAATTTTCGAAAACCATTTGTTGTGGTAATAGATACATTCCGCCTCTGATTAGAATATGCTCCTGCACCTGAGAGTGAACTTTTAAGGGTAAGTCGGCCTGCTTTGGAATGGACTTCTGCTTGGGGAGACTATGTGTAGTTACCGGAGACGATCACCTGGAATCCATTCCTTCCTCGCCAAACATTGGATCACACAATATTCATCGATTGTTTTCCTTTTTGACAACCAACTCTCGTGGAAAGGGAGGAGGGGGAGGATCATCTCTTGTAAAGTACTCTTTCCCGTTTCACGAGACTTATTACAGCAGTCAGTGGGCTTTTTCTGTATTCAGGGTAGTTTCTGAGTAGATTGACTGCAAAACCAGGTCTCAGCACGGGGCACGTGCTCAAGAACAAGGAAGTGATTAACTAGTTGCTATCAGTGGAAATGGCAGTCCTCACGTTCCCAAAGGAAGATAACCTTGCTGCGGCTGAAAAAGGTCAGGAAACGTGTGCTCTTCGACCAGATTAACTCTGTAAGCACAGAATGGCCTTCCTCCCAAAAAGCAAAAGTTACGCAATCAGCTGAATGAAGTGAATGTTACAATCTAGCTGAGAAGTAGGAACTACAAGTATCACCAGTCAAGTGGACGATGCTCAGTACAGATTTTGAGGAAGTAAGGTTATGGTAGCATTCATTTTCTGCCTCGTATACGCCAAGAAATCGCATGGACACTTTTATAAGATAAAAAGAGAAGTGTAATGGTCTACAAATCATTGTGTGAACTGAATGGACGATTATTCAGAGCTGGTATATACAGCTTTGCTCCAGAGATCCTGAAAATCAGTGCTGAGCAACGCACAGCTCCAGCTGCCTCATCTGGCAGAAACCTTGATCGATATACCCAAGGATGGCCAGTTATGGGCAGGAGTTCGAATTTTAACAGACTTGAATCAATTCCTGTGCTTATTGAGCACCGTGCTTTTCATCACTTACGCTACCGAGTCTCATTTGCCCTTTCGTTTTTCCCTTGGTTGACTTATGAAATAAACCATATGATTAACCATAACGAGAACAGTTCAGTGAGCACTAAAGAGTAGACTGCGGGTAGCCACGATGAACATATTATTAAATTTTCACTTATTTATATCAATGTGATTGCTCATACAGCCTTTGAGTTGAGGTCTTTCATTGTTCCATGACAAGAATAGGTCAGGAATGATGGTATGTAGATCTGAAGAGGACAAGAGGACACGATCTCAAGTCAAGTCCTCAAGTTCATACTCTCTATTTAGGGCGATATGGCGATGTGCTCTCATCACTGCCGTCACAACATCTTACCGTCGTCCAACATATCATTTCCGTGCAGTGGCTTCAATTTTCGTCCGGGAAAAACCTCCGAATGCGAGCTGTTCAGGAACTCCAGCAAACCGGTTAGTAATCATGCAATTTTTACTGAAAAACATTAACCTGGAACGCTTTTATAGTTGCGAATATGTCCTTCATGTTGTTACATAAAAACTTCAAGAGATATTTTTGTTCAAACCCTATGCAATTTTTAAGACAACACCTTCGACCTGCCTTTATGTAGCAATTCCTTTTGTTCCACTGATGTTAAGATATTCGTGCTGAATCTGCACCTTTCTATATATCCAACCTGAGACAGTGGTAGATTGTTTATACCGAGCTCTTCCAGTATTACGGATTTATGTTCAATCACTAAGCAGAGGTAAAACTTGGGTTTAGGAAAAAGACAAGCACCAGTCCAATACCTTCCTTGGAGCCTAGCCAACTCATATTTTCCCTTTTACTCCATACATGAGTCTTACAAAGCAAAGCCCACTAGGGAGAGCCAGAANAAGTATCCATTTTGTTCGTTACAATTCCATTACCAGCACAGACTTTTTCTGCTCCGTGATCGCGCAGAAAAAACATCAGANATTTTCCCTTTTACTCCATACATGAGTCTTACAAAGCAAAGCCCACTAGGGAGAGCCAGAATGAGCTTAGGTTCTGACCACTCTATGTAGAGCAATTTCCAGGGCGCTACCGAACTTATCGCAACCGAGCAGCTGTCATTCTACTTTGACAAAAAATGCATGAGGTTAGTCCTGTCAGAATTCTGCTTAAGTATTGAGAACTATTATGCTGCTATTCTGCAGATTTTTTCCATTTTCGATAGCTGTTTGATATACCATATGTTTACCCAGTATAACTTCCGTACGGCTACGAATTCCACTGGATTTCTCAGCGAAGTTGTGAATGTATCAGTAGGTGTATGCGTGGCAAGTCATTGATCGGAATGAATATAGCCATTTAATGGATTGAATTCACCGTTGGAGTGCTTAAGCATGTCAGGTGCCCGGTCAATTTCACATCTTTTCATTGACGATATTTTAGGGTGTCTCGCCGATGCGGCGACTCGTCGGCTTTCGTGTTTGACGTGAGACAAGGGTACACCTTACGTGCGTCCACTTCAACCGAATTTAGGCAGGTCGGGAGCGAGTTCCACTGCGCTCAAGCATGCCTCGATGAAGAATGCATTGCATTCGCATGGGAATCTAAGTACAGGTGGGAAGATTGCTCTAAAATAGATATTATATAAAGTTCTGCGGCGGCTTTCTCAAAAATAATTTTCTTCGTGAACAGATGGATCGGATACGATTTCTCCACAGTATCCATGGGTATTCGCTTCTAAAGGCTAAAGATTTGCTCGAGGTAATAGTCAGAACCCAGGACGTAGTTGAGAACTTCAAATCCTTCCACAAACTTTCTTTTCCCGCGGTTTTCGAACTTTCTTTTTTCCGCGATTCATGGTGACGTTGGAGGCTCCTTAAGCGGTACTCTTTGATTTCCCAGTTTAAGGGCGCCGTTGTTCCTAATCGTTTGAAGAAAATGGGACTTCGGAATTTCGATGGTCCTAACTTTAAGAAGCATAGACGGATAGTTCTCCATACAACATAGACTACATTGTATATATTAACATTTGGGTATTTATGAACTCAATGGGGTCTCACTGAGCTGCAAAGACTGAAAATAATCTATTCTAATGGTAAGCTGATTAGAGTGATCGCGTGCATTTACATTTCAGGCCAATAAACTTTCTTTAAAGTTCTTCAAATGGAACAGGAAGTATCCATTTTGTTCGTTACAATTCCATTACCAGCACAGACTTTTTCTGCTCCGTGATCGCGCAGAAAAAACATCAGAATGGTGCGTTAAGGAACGCTCGGAACTTAATGAAAATTGTTCAAAGGGGTTTATCAATGTACGCATATTATCGGCCAGTATGATCCGGATAAACCCGCACGGTTGAAAAATAAAGATTCACGAATGAAAACACGGGAAATACTTGTTGCTTTCGGTAGTGTAAGGGATTAGAAGTCCGGTGCCCAAGAATTTGAAGTACGGGCTTGAGTACGGTCTATGTCCGATGTTTTGCCCCCAATCCGATATCATTGTGAAAGGTTAGGGATAGTGCTTTTCCAAATATGTAGCTCGATACTTTTTAAGGGCTTAGATTTCTTCGAGAACGTCATTTCAATCATTGCAATTTTCAAACTTTGTGACTTAATTCATACACTTTCTTACTATTGTAGAAAATGTCTGTTGACGAAGGACTCTCGGAAGGAGAATCTCGAAAGGAACAAGGATGCCACCTATTATGAGAACAATTGCATAGAGCGTGAGTTCCTTTTGGATTTTCAAAGAGTGTGGAGGGAAACTTTGCTTGTTTCGCATCATGCGGTTCCATATATGATTCATAGTTTTCTGTATTCTGTTTTTCTGGTATTGGTCCAGTGTAAATATGAAATTGAAGTTGTGGTGGAGTATATCTCAGTTTCGTACTGACTTACGAAGAATTTGAAAGCGTATAAAGTGGAACGGTGGAAATTGTGAGCTTACGTTTGCAGCGTCGTCACGTTGTCCACCAGGGAATACTGTGAAGTTCATTTTCGTCAAAGGAGCCGACGTTCCATCATTTGGGGTACCAGTTGGAATCAGAAGCATTCGGAGCTGTATGAAAGAGTGCATCGATACTGCATTACTCCACTGTCGTTCCTTGCAGGTGATTTTGTACTTGTACTTTTGTCGTTAAAAAGAATTTTTTTGGATTCTGAACAAACCGCTCACTACCCAAACCAAGTTTTTTTTTTGCTTTTTCATCAGTTCAGAAGCGCCTATACAGAGAAAATCTTTCTCTAATGAAGTGATAAGTCGAATGCCATTATGTGATTTCTTGCCTGAAAGTCATGATATGGAAGTTCCTTTTTTCATTCAGCACAACTTAGCCCTTATCAATCATAGCTAGAAACAGCACATACGCATTTCAATAATGATCAATAATAACAATAATAATTAATAAATTTTTTAATACAAATTTCCGTCTTTCAGTTTGATTCTTCCACTAACCAGTGCTTCGTGTCGGATGAATCGTCAGATGTGGCAGTGTCATCACCCAAACTCGACCTGTACGAGCCGTTTTGTTCCGAAGTCACCAATCTGGCTCCATCCTGCGACAAAGCATATGCGTTCGAAAAAATCCTCACCTCACGATTGGTCAATGCCGCAGTACTTCAGGAGCTGCGAAGTAGGTGATTTTTCAGAAGAAACGGAAGGAAGGGTACTTGAAGAGATTTCACTTCGTCTCGAAGAGAGAAACCTGAGAACATGGGGATCTAGTGCTGCCTGGGAAATGATTGTGCGAAGGGATTCAAAGCATGCTTGTCCACCATACTCCATCGGGTCAGCAGAGAGCAGAGCGTATATAATTGTCCCGCTTCAAAGACAAGCTCCATCATAACTCGTACCATTGGGACTGTTCTTTTCGTCCTTGATTTCTCGAATAAGCCCGTAAGGTAGAGTGAGAGGTATCGTCACAGAAGAATGGGCTCTAGTTGAGAGTGAACAAATGAAGGTGTGGTAGTGACGGTATTCAAAGTTCTTCTTATTGAACTTCCGAAAAGTTTCTAGAGTTACGTATTCCAGATCAAACAGTGGAGAGCTGCTTGACTGCTTGCATGAGTGCATCCAAGAAGTGCAGAGCTGTCAATTATGATGTCACCTCAACAAACTGCTTTCTGATGTCAACGAGTAAAACTGACAAGGAAGCGAATATCGGTGAGAACTTTACTAGAGCAAAAACCGGGGATAGAGAGCCGCCTTCAGAACTTCGAACACCTTGGACAGTTGCAAAGATTTTTGAGATGTTCCGCTAAAATGCATTTGTAGGACCCCGTATGCCGTATGTATCCCTGTCATACCTGGAAACGGCCTAGTTAGATTTATAAAAGCTCAAATTTTGACCGTGTGTATTCTCGAACGAATCCCATCGGCATTAAGGAGGCTGCACCAATGGCGAGGAAGCCAATTTAGGAAAATCAAATATTTTGTCATGGCTTATAGTGACAAAGGAAGGTAGCTCTGTACAGATGTGACTTAATGTAGTCAGTTCTTTGCAACAACTGGAATCTCGTCCGAATATCACTTTGATGTTATTTCCGTCATGGAGTCTCGTTCAAATTCTAGGATCCCTACTTCTGAGGAGCCTTATTTTTACCGAAACCGACGAATTTTCTCGCTTATTCTACTAACTATTTAAACTATTCCCACCCTACACTTCCGCTTTTTCTGATTAGAAAGAGACACCCTCAAATTTATCGTGGACTGTGCCTTTAATTGAATACTTGTACATCATTTTGTTTACCAATTGTCTGAGCATGATTCTGACGTTCTTGGGGAGATGAATGTTGTAGGAACGATTCTGCGATGAATTCGGACTTGCGGATCATGGTGAACATTAACTTTTCGGTTTCTAGCGCTTAAAATGGCTGCGGCGTACTGACCAATAACGACTATTGATTTTGAATTTGATATTCCACATGAAAACCTGGAAGCCTCTACCTTTCTCATTTCCATTTTTGTCGTTCAAATGACTTAACTTTTTTAGTTCATCTTTTTTCAGTTCAAGAAGAGTCGTTCGATTATTATGAGCCAGCTTGTTTGTTGGAAACTCCTTCCAATGAGACTTCTTCGACCGGGGATATGTTTCTTCTGCATGAGAACAACAGGACACTTCGTCAGGAATTCCGCAACATTCAACACTGGGAAACTTACGATCTAAACACTTGTTGGTTCGTTCGCTGTGTTTTTTGCTTTTTCGTGGGAAGTGGTCGGCCTTACGACAAGTCAGGCTCATTACGGGCACCCAATATCCAGTGAAATTCGTAGATTCAAGCTAAATCTCACTCATGCTGAAAGGTCGTGGAATGCTTTTGCCCAGCATGAGAACAAAAATCGAACCCAACTTCATAATCCTATTGTAATAACACCAATATTAGCGTACAAACCAGCGAAACAATCAGAGTTCTGTGAAAGTCTCTGCAACATACGCTTAGCTGAATTGTCCGTGTGTGTACCCATATTGACGCTATTTAAAGGAAGAATTTCTTTGAAGGTTTTTGTGTCGCAATGCGACGAAGTTTGTCTGCCGAGCGTTCTCCTACTCGGAAACGAGAAGAGAATGCATGCTATCGTCGAGTCATGTGGAAATACCTCAGGATTACGAGAAGTTAACACAGAAGAGCTCGACCTTTCATCTTTACGTTCGTCATGGCATACAAAATCTTGGTGAGTGAACCTAATAGCGATCCCAAATGTATTTAGCGTGAGCAGATCTGAATTTTCAGACGTACCAACTACACAAAAACCCTACACGCGGTGGTCTTTCCCAACGTTGCTCCCCGATTCTGCACTGAGGCAAGCCATCAGCGCCAATGCCTTGGAAGAGCATGTTTTCGATCTCAGTAGTTCGCTATTTGTCGATGACACCGGTATCCGTAAGACATCACCGAAGCCATTCACGAAGGCTCCCACTTCTTCAATCAAAGGTCTGCAGTTGTTCAACCAAGTATTCTTCCTTGTTTGTTTACCGCATATGTACATACTTTTGCGAAATCATAATACAAGAACGGGATGATTCTTTGGCTTTCTTGCTTAAGTCTCGGTAATCAATTAGTAGATATCCACATGTGGTCTAAAAACTTAAGCCGAATCATATGTTGTGCTGAGGAAATCATTGCCTCCATGCGTCTCCAGGTGTACTTAGGTTCTATAACGAGTACCCTCAGACGTTTGGATAAGGATAGACATATCTCGTTCTCTGGACGGTTGATTGATAGCCCTTATGACTGCACATCCTATCGTGGAAGCTGGCAATTACTCTTAGCTTTGGCTTCTTTCACTACTGTTTGTAATGTCTTTGACTGTTTCTCCTGTCTCTTTAGTATCAAAAATATACAGTAGCGCTCAAAAGTCTTCGGCCAAACGCTTTTACGCTTTTTCGTTCATAACTTTTTTCTTAATGTAGCTAATCGTGCGAAATTTTAATATGTTTAACTGGAACGTATTTGACACTGCCTAACACTATTTGACTGCAAAACCATATCCACGTAATCAAGAGGAAGGTGTTTGTTACGGTATTCGCTATGCGGTAGCAGATTTCGCTAGTAGTAAAGTTAGTGACGTCTGTAGTTATCAGCACCTTATGTGATTGTCTCTTCCCACGTGTCCGACATTAGCGCTCGTACACTTCAGACAGGGCAAGCAAATAGTGGCAAATAATCTCAGAAGGACCAACGTCCGTATTCCCAGTTGATTTTAAGTTCAAGCTCTTTGGGATGTCTGGAACATGATCAGATTAAACTTCAGTAACGGTAAATATTTACACCACACTTATGCTACACACATGAAATTTCGCATGATTAGATCCATCGGAAAGGAGTTACGACCGAAAAGTGCAACTGAAGAAGCTTTGGTTGAAGACTTTTCAGCACTACTGTAAGTGGATGAACACAACATAACCCATTGTCTTCCATTTGAGCTTTTCTTATCGTGGCTGTTTCATTTAAACTTTCACATGAGACCGTTTATCGAATCTGAGATCCTGCTCAGTGTGAGCTACAATACCCACCCTAAATGTTCAAAAAACACGAAAAAACGTGTTTTCGCGTTTTTTTTTNTTTTCTTCTATTAAAAGTAGTCTGTTGAACGTGGAGTAGCTGATATTTTCCTGCATTAGGTAAAAATAAGCTCATGGCATTTCTCATATCGTCCTAATCACTTCGATACCAGTTTTCCTCAGAATGGATAAATTTGGCTATGGGCCAAATGCAAGTGACGGAGGCTTTCTAAAATGAGGAATAACCAAAATGAGATGATCTGTTCTCAGAAATTAGGGTGCCTCTTTTCCACAAAAATTACTTCACCAAAACTTGAAATTTAGTGCTTTGAGATGTAAAGAAAAGGCTACATAATCGTTTGAAATCGGGTACGCGCCATTTTTTTACGAAGAGCATAGGTTTCTTGCTTTTTACGTGAAATTTCCGATGACCAGGGAGGAGCTATGCACTGTTTTGGAAGTATACTTACTAAACTCTTCGCAAAAACTGCCACCAGGCTTCAACCAGTAGGATTTCATAAAATTGATTGATGTCCTTTCTCACTGTTGACAGAGCAAGAAGATACGGTATCCTAGCAGAGGTTTTCAAAGCCCGTGAACATCCATCCAGCTTCCTTTCTTTGTTGCGTAGTGTTACTGCGCGGGCAATGAAGAGTGTTAGGGTAGATGTTGTGCCACGTCTTCTTAATCGTAGGCGCACGATTCAAGTTGCCAATCTTTTCTACTCATCAATGTTCATGCCCGAGTGCGTGTGGACGAGAACACCCACCGCCTCAGTTTGCATACCTCCGAAGAACAGTCATTCTACAGTCTCATAAATGTCAGTTAGTAGAGCTGCAGATATCGTACTCGAACTTGGTCTTCCTGCTTTGCATAATCAGATTCTCGATGCACCCTTTAGATATAAGCGTTCGTGCATTAAAAGTGCAAAATGTTAAAGTCGTAGTCCTAACTCTTTCGAGCAGATTGTTATATGTAGCTCTAGACTCAAGAGCGTCTTCCAGCAGTCCTACCCGATTCTGCCGTGCACTGAG